ACTGTGCTCCCATCTGCTCTGTCTCACCAGCTCTGTCGCTTTCCTGGTCCTGCTCCTCATGCTGTGGGTCCCACCTTTCATATCAGTTCAACTGACAGCCCCAACGACAGCCCCCAGGAATTGTTCCCTCTTTCTTCTGCATCATATTTCTTCCTCTGAGAGTTCCTCTCCAGTAGCTTACAAAGACCTTAACCAAGCAAGCCCAGAAACCAAAACCAACAGATGAATAAAAGTCCCTCTTGACTTCACATTGTCTATCAGCAATGGCTCTTCTGTTCCCTTTGGCAACAAAAACCCTCCCAAGAGTGCTCTACACTCTTCCTTGCTCTGCGGTTTATTGAACACACCTTACTAAGCTTTCATCTTCTATGTTCTACTGAACTCTCATCAAGGTAGCTGATGGCCCCCATACCCAGATATGGGGTCAGTGCCCATCTTCCTATCACTGCAGTTCTCAGAAACATCTGACCTGGTTGATGAGTTCTCTTTTGGGATATACTTTCTTCATGTGGACACCACATGCTACTGATTCTCTTCCAACTTCATGGCATTCATTCTCAGCCTCCATTATTGGATCCTCCTCCATGGTCCTTCTCCATGTTAGAAGGCCCACGCCTCTGTCCTCAGACCTTTTTTCCTCTATGGACACTCACATCCTTGATGATTTTGTCCAGGCTTTTGACTCACAAATTTATACCTCCAGTTGTGACATTTCCCCTGAACATTAAATTCATCAACTCAACATGGTATTCAACATCTCCACCTGGACACGGAGCAGGCATCACTAATTTAAAAATGCCCCAAATGGAACTCTTGGTTTTTTTTCTCCAAACTCTATCATATCCCCTCACATAAGTCTTTCTGCCTCAATTAGTGCCAACTGCATTCTTACAGCAGGTCAGACCCAAAACTTTGTGGTTATCCTTAACTACTTTCTTTCTCTATACCCCACATCCAACCCATCAGGAAAGACTTTTTGCCTACACCTTTTAAATATATACAGAAGTTGACGCCTTCTCATCAGTATCACCACTACCACCCACTATCACCCCACGCCTGGATTATTTCAATATCTTCTTGAAGGATCTCCCTGCTCTCCTGTCTCCCTTACAGCCTATTCTCCACACACCCAGAAACACCCTTCTAAAACCTAAGTCAGATTCTGTCACTCATCTGCTTTCCACCTCACTGAGAATAAACTCTGATGTCCTTACCATAGTCTATATGGCCTCAGTCATGACCTGGCTGGGGCGCCTCTCTGACCTCAGAACTCTTCCACATGCCTCTTTGCTTATTAAAGGCCACTTATTGTCTCAAAGTCTTTGTGCCTGGAGAGCTGATCCCTCATTTATTGCACAGCAAGATTCCCCCACTTTTTTTTTTTTTAAGGAAAATGCCAGATGGAAGTTTTTATGGTTTTATTTAAACACACAATGTGCACATGAGCTGTCTATTCTTTTTCTTCACTGAGCAGCCTGGCATTAGGATTGGTGACTTTGATGGCCAGCTGGGCTGCCCTTTCTACAATGGCTTTGTGGTTCTTGGAGGAAATGTTGTGAGCAATCTCAGCACAATAAGATTTGTTGCACATCAGCAGCACTTCCAGCTCCTTGAAATTGTGGACCAGGAACTTCTGGAAGCCACTGGGCAGCATGTGTTTTGTTTTCTTGTTGCTCCTGTAACCAATGTTGGGCATCAAGATCTGGCCCCTGAATCTTCTACACACCCTGTTGTCATTACCTCGGGCTTTCGCCAGTTCTGCTTAATCCTGACATATCGGTCTGACTGGTGCCCGATGAACATCTTGGTCCTCTTTTTGATGAACTTGGATTTCACCAGGGATCTGAGGGCAGCCATGATTTCGGGTAGGAGTATGGCTGCCATCTTGGTAAGCAGCACCGAGGAAGAGAGGGGATTTTTTTTTCTGAGATAGTGTCTCACTCTGTTACCCAGGCTGGAGTGCAGTGGCACCATCATGGCTCACCACAGCCTTGACATTCTAGACTCAGGCAATCCTTCAGCTTCAGCCTCCTTAGTAAGTAGAACTACAAGTGCACACCACCACTCCTGGCTAATTAAAAAATATTTTTTTTGGTAGAGACGAGGTCTCGTTATATTGCCTACGATGGTCTCGAACTCCTGGACTCAAGCAATCCTCCCACTTCGGTCTCTCAAATTGCTGGGATTACAGGCATGAGCCACTGCACCCAGCCCAAAACAATTTTTTAAAATGCTTCTATCAATTCACAGTCCCATCGGCAATGCAGAAGAAATACAGTTTTATCCATATTCCTGCCAAAGCTTGATATTGTCAGTCTTTTTCATTTTAGTCATTCTGGTGGTTGTGTAGTGGCACTTCATTGCGGTTTTTCTGATGAATAATGATGTTGAAGGCATTTTCATATTTTTATTGACCATTTAATTATCTTTTGTGAAATATCTGTTCAAGTCTTTTGCTTATTTTCAATTGGATTTTTAAAATTGATTTGTAGGGACTGCATACCCATTTTATGTCTTGTTGAATATATGTATTGTGAATATCTTCTCTCAGTCTTTAGTTTAACAATGTCTTTTAATGAACTGAAGTTCTTAATTTTAATGAAGCCCGATTTAATAATATTTTCTTCTATAGGTAATTTTTTTGGTGCTGTTTATAAAATCTGTTTCAAGTTATAAAGTTATTTACATATTTTTTCTAGAAGTTTTATGATTTTTACCTATCACATGTAGATCTATGGCCCATTTGAATTAATTTTTGTGTATGGTGTGAGAAAGAGGTCAATAATTTTTTCACATAAATGTCTAATTGATTCAGAACCATTTATTGAAAAACAATTCCCTACTTTTGTTGTAGCACCTTTGTGGTAAATCATGTTATCTTATATATATTTATGGGTCCGTTTCTGAACTTTCTATTGAGTTTCATTGATCTTTTGGTCTATCCTTGCATCATACTATCTAGATTCCTATTGGATTTTTTAAATGTTAAAATAATCTTGCATTCCTAAAACAAACTCAGCTTGGTTGTGATTATTATCCTATTTATGGATTGCTGAATATAACAAGGGTTGTACGTTCAATTTACTGACATTTTATTTGGAACTTTTGCATCTATGTCTCTGAGAGAGATTGGTCTTTAATTTTGACTTTTCTTAAAATATCCTTGTCAGTTTTGGTGTCAAGGCTATGCTTGCCTTTTAAAGTGTCTTAGTGAGTGTTCTCTCTTTTTCCATCATTTGGAAGAATCTTTATGAGATGGGTGTTTTTTCTTGAAAGTTTGGTAGAATTTGCCAGCTATGCCATATGAAGTAGAGTTGTTTGTTTTATGAGAAGATCTTTTTACTTATGAAATCAATTTCCTTAAACATTTTAAAATTTAAGTTTTTTAGAAACAGGGTTTTGCTCTGTCACCCATACTGGAGTACAGTGGAGTCCAGATTGCGGCTAACCTCAAACTCCTGGTCTCAGGTGATTCTCCTGCTTTAGCCTCTCAAGCAGCTAGGCCTACAGACCCATACCACCATGCTTGGCTAATTTTTTTCCTTCCAAATTGTGACACCAATGGCTAATTTCTAAAGTTTAATGTTTGTGGAGTTGGGGAGGGGAACGTCTCACTATGTTGCCTAGGCTGGTTTTGAACTCCTGGCCTTAGGCAATCTTCCACCTTCACTTCCCAAAGTGCTGGGATTACAGGCTTGAGCTATCATGCCAGGCCTATAGAGTCAATTTCTTAAATAGATACAGGATTGTTCAGATTTTCTATTTCTTTTTGCATACCTTTTGATAACTTGTGTTTTTCTAGGAAATTTGTCAACTTCTTCTAAATTTTCACATTTATTGGCTTAGAGTTGTTCAGAGTATCCCCTCATGATCTTTTATGTCTATGATATCTGTAGTGATATCACTACAAATTGTCCTTATATTAATTTTGCTTTTTTCTTTTCTTTTTTGCTTCATCTTTCCAGAGTTTATTGACTTTATTAGTCTTTTCAAACGTTAATATTAGTTTGTGGAACATCCTTTGAAGCTTGCTGTCTCTTTTATTAATTTCTTCTGTCTTTTTTATTTCCTTCTTTCCAGTATTTCTCAGTTTAACCTTCTTTTTGTAACTTCTTGAGAGTTATGACTATACTAAAGATCCCTTTCTCAATGAGCTCTTTCTTGACCACTCTGTTTTAAATTAAAGCTAGCTTATTGCTCCCATTCTTATTTCTCTTTTATTTTTCTCCTTGCACTTGTCACTATTTAACATATCATATATTTTCCTCATTTAATTTTGTCTCTCCCCATCAGAACAGGATCTCTGTGAAGGCAGGGACTTCTGCTTACTTTGCTCATTGCATAATCTTTAGGATAGAAACAAGTTCCTGTCTAATGAATAAAACAAGGAATGATTTTTTTTTCAGTTTAGGAGCAATAAGCTAAACTTATTGAACACTTACTACGTGAGGCTCAACTATGAGGGACTCACAGGTAATAACTAATTCTTACAGAGGAGGACACTGAGACACGTGAGCAGGATAGCCTTGATTAGAAACCTGGGTCTAACTCAACCCTCTGTGTTTCCTCCAAACCCCGATGTTTTTCCTTTAAAAAGCCAGTGAGATCTGCCGGGGAAGAGGGAGGGCACACTTCATATGCATGCATAATAAACATTTGTATACCTAACCCTGAATTGTACTCCACATCTGTAAAAAAAAAAAAAAAAAATT